AGGGGTCGGCGCCCTGGGGCGGGGCCCGGCTGGGGGCGGAAGAACTTGCACCAGGGTCCGCCCGGGTTCCCCCCTCACTTAGCCTTGGGTTGCTACCCGCAGGGAACGCGGTGGCCAAGCGTCCTGCCGCGCTGGGAACCCCGCCCCTCAGGCGCCGCCCGGGGAGCTGAAGGAGGGGGTGCAGCCGAGCGCACCACCTCGAGGATAGCCTGAGGGGCGCCTGGCCCACCGGAGGGGAAGGGGGCTGGGACTGAAGTCATAGCCCTGGAACTCTGCCAGGCTGGGGGCTTAGAGCAAAGTTATTGCCCCAGGGCTCCAGCCCCTCGGGGCCACCAGCACTACCGCAGTTGTAAACATGTTTGTGCGGCAGCCTCGCCCCTTACCACCCCAGGAGCCCCTTTTGGAGGTGTGGGGACCCCCTGCGACCTCCAGAGACCTGCCTGGCCACCAGGATTCTTCCCACTGACCTAATTGGACAGGCATCCAGACAGCCTCTCTCCTCTTTATTCCACTCCCCTCCACTACACCTCCCCCTATCCTCAAGTCCAGCGCAGCTTGTGGGTGGGCGGGAGCGATTTTTAGCTCCTAGCAGCCTTAGAAGATGCTGGTCTCCAGGCTGCGCAGGCGCAGGAGGCTTGAGTCCACTGCGCGGAGTGGGACACTGAGGATTGTTGTGGAGTGTTAGGCGGGGACAAATCCAGAAGTAAGGAACTCTCACTACCAAGGTGGGTGGGGATTGAGAAGCTGAAAATGGTCCTCTTCTCTTGCCTTTGGTGTGCACTTCTAAGGGTTAATACAAGGGTTTGGTGTTGCTCCCAAACTGACCTCAAAGGGAAAACTGATCAAAGCTTCACCCCAAGGCTTGCCTGGGGTCTGGTCCTTTTGAGCCTCATTGGAGCTCAGTCCTGTGCTAGATAAAACCTTACATGGACCCAGAACCACGCTACATCTCTTGCTTGGAGCTTGGGGGGAAAAGGGTAGGATTCAAACCCTCATTCAGGGCCTTGTCCTTTTCTGGACTCCTGTAATCCACCATCCCTGAGGTTGGAGACCAAGGTGAGCTGATCAGTCACTGCAGCAGGAAAAATCGGGGTCAGACAGCAGGAAGGACTTTTCAGGCGTCTGGATGATGCTGGAGCCAGACCTATGTTGCAAAGCTATTTTGCTTTCAAACAGAGCCCAGATGGCCCCATCTAGGAGCCTTGGGCTCTTCAAGTCTTCCCTCTCCATTCCTGGGCTGACTTAGGAGAAAGGGTTCTGAAAAAAGGGAGGGAGCTGTGGCAAAGTCAGGTCGAGTGCTGAAGTAGCCAGACTGGGTACGCGCTGTCGGGTCTCCAGGAAAAAGGAGGAAAGGGGCGGTGCCTGCATGAGGTGTGTCTCCGCCCTCCTGGCCAGCGCCAATTCCCATTGGCTCAGCGCCACGCGGGATTTCTGTCTCCCGCAAGACCACACCCCCAGCCCAGGATCCTTCCACACACCCTTCAGTCCACCCGGAGGCATCCTCTAGTCCTACCTACTGGCGCCAGAGTCTTGCCCCTACCTCTCTCCTTTGGCAGGGTTAACCAGTTTGTTGCCTGGATACACCCTCACACTGGTGCAACCCCTTAGGTCCCACAACCTTTGAGCTCCCGAGGGTTCCCTGTTAGGATCGTATATATGGACAGCATCCGGGTTCGAATGCCCAGACGGCAACGCCGTCCATTAATCCTAGGGAGAAGCAGCATTTGCTTGGCAGAGCCGCTCTGCAGCCGGCGATGGATGTGACGTCTGTTTACACTGATGCCAAGGATCCAAATCCTCTACCGCACCAGTTTGCCCCTTGTTCGACCTTAGAATGTCTAGGAGAGCTAGCGGCTGGGGCTAGGATTGAGGACTTCTCTGGGAGGGGCTTAAAGGTTCCTCAGGGGCTCACCTTTGAAGGCTGAGTGTACCCGGGTCTGGAGTCCTGGGCTTCGTGGCCAGAAAATCCAGGTCTTGATTTCACTTGAGCCATTGCAGTCGTGCTGCCTGCCAGGCTGATACAAGATGCAGTTCATTCAAGCTGATCCTGCAAAGACAGGGGGAAAACCCGGTATGGATTTTAGGTCTCCGGAGGGCAGGACAGCTGCTGTGAACAGTGTGCCCTTTGACCCCAACCATATGTCTGTCCTCTATACAGGGGAGTAGGAAGTCCCTCTGGCCCATCTTTTGTCACACAGCATGTCCATCCACAATAATTCCTGTTCCTGCGACCACTATTGAGCACTAACTATGTGCTAGGCATCATACTGAGGTGCTAGGCACCTGCATCATCTTACAGAATTCTCTGCGAGGCACAACTATTGGAAGGTAATTTGCCAAGATTATAAGAGGCAAAACTGGGATTTGAACCCAGGGCTTTCTGCTTTCAGAGATCCCAAAGAGGATTAATTTCCACCTGGTTGGAGTCCCCCCAAAAAGGACTTTTGAAATCATCACCCAAATCTTGCAGCTTTACCCAGTCCACTTTATTCACATCAGCCTGTGGACTCAGAACTGGCTGGAAGGTGACACTACCTCTCCCCATTGCTCTCGGAAGAGAAGAGTTCAGACCTATGTAATTTCTGGTCCCTGTAGTGACTTCCTGTGTGCTTAGCAAACAGAACATGACCATCCTCTGAAGTGTACACATAAAGTTAATGGCTACCAATTACCACTGCTGTTATCAAAAAACACCACCTGATTCCCAATTTAAACCTCAATTTTGAGTCACCCTAACTATTCCCACCCCCCAACTATGTGGATCTGGCTTGGAGTGTGGAGGAGTCGTTCACTCACTCATTCATTCATTCATTCATTCATTCATTCATTCAACCTTTCATTCTTGAGCATACCAAATTCATTCCTGCCTCCATGCCTTTGCAGTTTCCTCTACCTTGAATGCTTTCTCCACAGATCCTTCCACGGCTGCTTCTTATTTACAGCAACCATTTAAAAGTCACCTCCCCAGAGCATCCCTCTTAGACCATCATGACCCCTCCTAGCCATTTCTCATCACATCACCTCGTTTAATTTTATTCATGGCACTCATTACTGTCTAAAATGATGTCATTCACTTCTACGTTGATCTTGTTTGCCTGCTTCCCTCTAAATGCTAGTCCCAAAAGTGCAGGAATTTTTGTCTCATTCAGTGCTGTGTCCCCCTTGCCTAGCACAGCACCTAGCACACATACAGTAGGTGCTCAAAAAATATTTTTCAAATAGACTCCTATTTCATTTGCACATACATACATTGAGATGCCAACTCAGGAATCCTCTATGGGGCCCTGTGCTGGTCTCTGAGGGTGGGAGGAGGAATCAACCTGGTACGCCCCCACCCCTAGTCCTCAGCATATGGCCAAGGGTGCAGGTGATGATGCTGATGAGGGGCTTGTGCCACCCAACTTCTGCTCCTACGGGGGGCTGAGAGGACTTGCAGGCCGCGGCTGCTGGCCCATACTGACCTCTATCCTTTTGCTCCTTTGCCTTCCAGAAGGATTTGCCCCTGCCCCGGAAAAGCAGCAGGTGAGCCTTGGGGAGAGATGAGCTGGGCTGGACGCCCCTTCTGCGGCCGGGGTTGGGGTGCTAGGCGCGCGCGTGGGTGGGGCTTGGCGCGCTGGTGTCCAGCTGCGCCCCCTCCTGGCAGGCGGCAGCCGCACGGCCCTCCCCTCCCCCGCCCTCCTCT